ATAGTGGGAATACCGGGGGATTTGGGAATCCTGGGATTCCCAGCCGCGGCAGATCTGCACCTTCTGCCTCAGCAACCAGCGCAAAATGGTGAGTGATTGTGATGGGGATACCGGGAATAACGGGAATAGTGGGGTCCGGGATAGCGGGAATGGGGTCCAGAATAGCAGGATTTGGGAATGGGGGATCCCGGGATGCCCAGCCCCGGCAGATCTGCACCTTCTGCCTCAGCAACCAGCGCAAAATGGTGAGCGATTGTGATGGGGATACCGGGAATAACGGGAATAGTGGGAATAAGGGGAATAGTGGGGTCTGGGATAGCGGGAATGGGGTCCAGGATAGCGGGAATGGGGATCCCGGGGTGCTCAGCCACGGCAGGTCTGCACCCTCTGCCTCAGCAACCAGCGCAAAATGGTGAGCGATTGTGATGGGGATATTGGTGATAATGGGAATAGTGGGGTCCGGGATAGCGGGAATGGGGTCCGGGATAGCGGGATTTGGGAATGGGGGATCCCGGGGTGCCCAGCCCCGGCAGGTCTGCACCTTCTGCCTCAGCAACCAGCGCAAAATGGTGAGCGATTGTGATGGGGATATTGGGGATAACGGGAATAGTGGGAATACCGGGGGATTTGGGAATCCTGGGATTCCCAGCCCCGGCAGGTCTGCACCCTCTGCCTCAGCAACCAGCACAAAATGGTGAGAGATTGTGATGGGGATACCGGGAATAACGGGAATAGTGAGGTCCGGGATAGCGGGAATGGGGTCCAGGACAGCAGGATTTGGGAATGGGGGATCCCGAGATTCCCAGCCGCGGCAGGTCGGCACCTTCTGCCTCAGCAACCAGCGCAAAATGGTGAGTGATTGTGATGGGGATACCGGGAATAACGGGAATAGTGGGAATACCGGGGGATTTGGGAATCCTGGGATTCCCAGCCCCGGCAGATTTGCACCTTCTGCCTCAGCAACCAGGGGAAAATGGTGAGTGATTGTGATGGGGATACCGGGAATAACGGGGATAATGGGGTCCGGGATAGCGGGAATGGGGTCCGGGATAGCAGGATTTGGGAATGGGGAATCCCGGGGTGCCCAGCCGCGGCAGATCTGCACCTTCTGCCTCAGCAACCAGCGCAAAATGGTGAGTGATTGTGATGGGGATATTGGGGATAACGGGAATAGTGGGAATAACGGGGATACTGGGGGATTTGGGAATCGTGGTATTCCCAGCCCCGGCAGGTCTGCACCTTCTGCCTCAGCAACCAGCGCAAAATGGTGAGTGCTGGCGATGGGGATACCGGGAATAACGGGGACCGGGATAGCGGGAATGGGGATCCCGGGGTGCCCAACCCCGGCAGGTCTGCACCTTCTGCCTCAGCAACCAGCGCAAAATGGTGAGAGGTGGTGCTGGGGATATTGAGGATAACGGGAATAGCAGGGATAATGGGGTCCGGGATAGCAGGATTTGGGAATGGGGAATCCCAGGATATCCAGCCCCGGCAGGTCTGCACCTTCTGCCTCAGCAACCAGCGCAAAATGGTGAGCGATTGTGATGGGGATACCGGGAATAACGGGAATAGTGGGGTCCGGGATAGCGGGAATGGGGAGCAGGATAGCGGGATTTGGGAA